AGGAGTCACCTCGAGGTCTGCCGGGGATCCCTGAACGCAGTCAGCAGAGGGTGGATGCAGACAATTATTCCAGTGACTACCTGCTAGCGCTCCACACTTGGATAGCCCAGCACGGTTTGGGTGGGCTACGAGAGAATCCCCTGAGGTCGTTGCATTGGTGGGATCCCATCGAACTCCATGTCACCCAACAAAGTACATGGCATGATCTGGATTACGATGCCTGTGTTTTCGGGGGAGCGCGCAAGAAGTCTCAGCGGTTTCGTCACAACATTCCGGAGCTCGCCGCCCTCCCAGCTGTACGTTGCGGACATGTACATGACCCTAGGGAGTGGTCCTCCCCAGTTGAGGGCGGATTTGCTACCTTCGCCGAAGCGGAGTACACCCCCAGCCTGGTGTTCACCTTGGCAGTGGCTTGTACTGCATGGGCAGCATCTCGTGGATACCTTGTGACTCAGGTACCCCGTCTACCACCTATCTCGCTATCAGGTGATCATCGGCCGTTGTTGCAGTTCGAACCGTCGGAACTTCGTCAGGAGTTGATGGACGTCATGGGCTTCCACTTGGGTCTGTCCCCTCCGGGTGTGGATTCCTCCTTTGTCCCTGCACGGTTGGTGGCAAGTGAAGTTCTGCTGACACGGAAGCACCTCCAGGAGAACGAGATCTACATTGGCCCTGGCCACTTCTCCCACCGGTGGCCTCTTTCACAATGGCAGAACCCCTTCCGGGTCGGGGAGGGCCGTACTTCTTCTGAAAGTGTCCTCCAGTTTGCCCGATGGATCCACGACCAAACGCACCTCCTCGAGGCCCTGCCTTCACTTCATGGTTGCACATTGATCTGCGACTGCCCCCACAACCAGCTTTGCCATGGAGATATCCTGCGTGCCCTTATCTGGACTACCACCACATCGAGGCCTACACTTCCGCGCCGGCGCCACCGGCAAGGTGTGCGCAAGGTGGCTTTGCTGGTGGATGACTCCCACTTCGTCTGGTTGGCTACCATGCAAACTAGGGATGACTGGCAGGGCCAGGCGTTTGGCCCGTCCCTGGTGGGATGTGCAGCCATCTCCCTACATGGTTTTCAGCAGGCAGGGGCCGCGGCTGCGGCGAAAGCTACGCCGCCACTGATTCCTTTTGGGGTGGGTGATGAACGACACTTTGAGCTTGCCATGGACCTCAAAGCTCAGCCTACACCCTTCGAGTCGATGGGCATTGTCGATGATGATCTACTATTTGCAGCGGACCAATATCGGCAGTTGGGTGCATCTCTACGGCAAACTCGGCATCACATGACGCGCTGGATCCATGAGCTGGCCCGGCGCACGTGGCCTATCACTGAGTGGCTACGTCAGTTTCAGCCACAGGGTCCTGCTCGAGTCACCGAGGGCCGCCACATCGCCCTGATCGGCCTGTTGATGATGTTCATCGGGTGGCCGGACCCTACCTTCATGGAGTGCCTGATCTTCGGTTTTCCATCAGCTGGTTTCTCCCCACATGTGCCAGTCTACAAAGCCCAACCGGCTAGTTACATCACTTCGTCGGAGGTGGTACACGGGGCGTGGCAGGACGCGGATCGTCTGATCCGTACGTTGCAGCCATGCGACCATGACGAGGCTATTGCCAAGGCTGGGTCAGACGATGAAGCACTAGGGTTCTGTGGACCTGCCCTGTCGTGGTCCCAACTTCCCAACTTTGTCAGCAAGTGCGCCACTTTCGCCTGATTCGGAGGTTTTGCATTCAGCAACCCAGTGGAAAGCTCAGAGTCATTGACGACGCTGCTGACGGAGGACAAAGTGAACTCAGTCACGACTCCAATAAACTGGATCTTTGCACTAGCATTCAACCGGGTCTGCATGTGCAACTTTTATGGCGGGCAGTCAGCCCTCTTCCCAATGCGGACGCATTGCTTGCAGACGGCATTTGCTCAGGAGGCGAAGACCTACCTAACGCATACAGGCATGTCCCTATGGTCCCCGAGCACTCCGACCTTGCTGTCGTGGCCTATTATGACCATCATGTTGGAGCACCTCGCTTTCGCAGGTACTATGGTTCATTGTTTGGTCTGCCCAATGCTGTTTGTTCGTTCAATCGGTTCCCTCGGTTGTTTCAGGCCCTTTGTCGTCGCATGGGATATTGTTTGGCCAGTATGTACTTCGACGACCTGACCGTCCAGGATCTGGGCAGCTTTAAGGGTTCAGCCCAGCAGTTCATCACATCGTTGGCCACCGAACTTGGCTCACCATTTCAACCGGAGAAGCATCAGGTCATGCAGAGTCAGTCTGACTTTCTGGGGTTGGTACATGATGTTACCAATTGTCACCGGGGACAGCCTGTCAGGTTTTGGCCCAGAGAGCGTTTGATCACCAAGGTCACAGACCTCATGGACGAAGCCATCCAAACAAACCGACTCCCGCCAGGTCTTGCGGCCAAGCTGTTCGGTTGCCTGGGCTTCCTCAACACGGGATGTTTTGGAAAGTTAGGGCGATCAGGATTGAGCCCCCTGAAGGAACGGCAGTACTCGCGTGACACCGCCCTGACTGAGGACCTCTCACGTTCCTTTGTGACCATCAAATCCCTCTTGGCTTTACGTCCTGAGCGAGAACTACCACTTCAGCCCGGTAGCCGGCAACGCTACCTCGCGGCCTCCGATGCGGCCCAAGATGAACCTCGGCAAGGTTCAGCGGGCCTGTTATTTGTGGGACCTCAAGGTGAACGAGATGCCTATGTCGTCGACATTACGGCGGAGCTCTTCAACCTCTGGTCCGAGCACCCTACCAAAATCGCCCAACTGGAGCTTCTCACAGTTTATGTTGGCTTCATCTTCGTTGCCAGTCAGGCCCGCTCCTGTCAGGGGCTTTGGTTTGTGGACAACATTGCGGCATTGATGGCCCTGATCAAGGGCAGGAGTGATAACCCGGAGTTGGATACTATGGCAGGATGTATCCATGCCCTCCTCTATTCACTGCGCAGTGGGTGCTATTTCGAATGGGTCCAGTCCAAGGACAACTGGTCCGATGGTATTAGCAGGCAAGGGATTTCTGATAAATGGTATCAGGCTCATGGATTTCGGGTACACCGTGTCCCAGTACCCCACCTCCTACTCCGCCTACCATATGTCATTATCAATCACGTGTTCCAGTTCTTCTGAGTGCTTTGGGAATGTTGAATGCATTGGGAACGAATACCTGGCAGAGGTATGCACCAGGGGTGCGCGCAGCGTGGGCTGCTGTGACAGGGTCACGTTATCCAAAGCACTTTTGAACCCAGACATTTGAAGCTCACGTGAAAAAGAAGCGAGCTGTGTCCGCCTTGTCACACATCAAGTCAAGTGTAACTGATGCAGCCGAATATATTCATTCATTCAAGGTAGGCAGGGTCGGTGATGAGGAATTATTTGATGTCATTCAGTTCACTCACTCCTTTCAGCTTGAGGCTCAAGCCAAAAGGAGTGTCGCTCGTGTGAATCAGGGTCGCTGATTCGCAAGATTCTTTTTGTCCCACCCACCACACCCTGTGCTCGGTACGAGTGGTTACAGGTACTTGTGGCAGCTGTCGGCCTGTTTTCCCATGGCTGCGGTGCGTCCATGTGATTTCCCTGGCCTGTGCGATGTCATCCACGGAATGGCCTACTTGTAGCAGCAGTCTGCAGGAGTCTACAGTTTGATTTGCAGCCGAATATATATATATGTGTTGATTAATTGATAGATCATACCCAAAACTTTTTTTTGATAGGAACGATTCCTTGATAACCATGTCAGGACTGGGAGTGTCGAACTCTTCCAGTCGTACTTAAGGGGATTTGTGTTGCCTCGGTTGGCCAGTGGCGGCCGGTTGAGACATAGAACCCACTTCTGATTTTTAGGTCTTGCCGGTTTGTTGCGTTCCAATCATGACGTTCTGGAACTTTTCTTTTCCACCCTGCTGATCCAAGGAGACGACGCACTGAGAAGGTATGCCGACCAAAATTGCAGAACGGAAGGTCAGAAGGTCACAAGATTCATTTTGAATTTGTTGGTTTGAGTGAAACTGCAAGAAACACCGAGTGCCTGCAGATAGGACCTGCCACAAACTTCCCAAGGAGAATGCTTTCAGAAGGATCTACCAGTTCCCTTCTCATGTATTGAAGATTGTTGATCCAATTCGATTTTCCCATCTGCCCGGTCACTCAAACCAACCACCTGTTGGTGATGTTTCTCAACTGAGACTACGACGATTCCTTTGAAGAGGACTTCAGACCCAGAGGCAGGGGATCGAGATTTGAGCCCTGCCTGGGACGCCATATGAGCATATGTTTTTGGCGCAAGGACTACCCGGAGAACACGAAAGATGATGATCAATGATGAAGATACAGTTGAGGATACCTACAAGATCTAGAAGCGTTTCGAGTGGCCTTATAAGCATGGACATTCTTTGTGTAGTGTTGCAGGCTGCTATCTAAGAATATCTGATATACATACATATATACATATAAATAGAGCGCAACAATCCATGTGGCTTCTACAGCCATTCTGGGACTGAGCATGCTCAGGATTTCTTCCACCAACAGGATCGTATTGAAGTGCCACAGCTGTTGATTACACAGTATATTGGACACCGGTTTTGCCATTAACTCAACGGACCAAGTATATGCTCAGAAATGGGTTCATCTTTGTGTCCAAGTCGTGCGCGTCGAAGCGAACTCTCCTCAACCCTGGAGTTCAATCCCAATGCTGTGAGTACCAAGGGCATCGCTGCGAACGGAGCAAAGACGCTACGAACGTAGCTCCTGGCATTTCTACAATGAACAAGAAACTACTAGGAACAAAGGGCATTTCTACGATCGGAGCATGAATGAAATCTTGGCGAAGACTTTTCAGGTGCGTTGACACCTCCCAGCAGCCTCTTGTGATGGACCATGCCCTCCGTGGACGCCGATCGATCCATGAATTTTGACCGCGCGCCGTGAACAACGGCGCTGCAGGTGATGTGGGCGACCCGGAGCGATTTGTGTCGGGGGAGCGTTTTTGGGGGTGGCGGTGGCGACGGTGGCAGCGGGGGCGACTACTCCAAGTTTCCCTCCAAACCTGGCAGGTTTTGGACCAACTCCAGTGCTTAGACCACGTCCCACACCGATCATTTGGTTGCTGGAACACCCGAAGGCGGCTGATGTGACCTCCTTCGAATTCGGGTCCGAAAAGATGGTGCGAAAGCTTTTGGGCCCTTTTTGGACCTGCACACGCCATGCAACAGACCATGCAACAGACCAATCTCATGGTTTTTTGCAGTGTTTGATTCGTTGTGAAGGAAGCAACATGGCTGCAAACATGTTGTTGGACCAAGCGAAGACGGTGTCCTTTACCGCAGGTCCAATTTGGCTCAGGGATCTCTGGCGAAGCAGGGGCGTGGTGTAGGCCGGGCTGTAGGAAGACCATCTGGAGACATGAAGACATGGAAAGGGAGGGGGGCAGTGGTACTTGGCGACTCGAAAGACATCCCCTACTAGTGGACTGAAAACAGAGCCTTGGAAACACATGGCTGTGTGACATTAGTGCCCTAAAACTCTAGTGATCTATAGTGAGTATCAACCTGTTGTTTTTGGGAGACTCTTTCGGACAAATAGTGTGATATTATCAGGGTGTGATACATTTTCTTCCAAGGGTCTAGGAAGACGGGGATCAACCTACAGCCTTTTCTTGATGGACCTCCAACATACCGGACCTGGTTCATCAATGGAAAGACACCCAGCAAATGAATGGGGCTTAAAAAGCACTGTTTCGAGCTCCCAAGGCCATGGAGTCGTCTTTTTTTGTTCGTGTGCGCCAGGCGCCATGGGAATTGGTCGTGACTCGCGTCACAAGCACTACAAGACCGGCGGAAGGTCCAAGGCGAGGCCACGCTCGCGCGGCGAAGCTGCGATGCTCGACCCAAGGGGCTGGGCCTACGGCCGAGGTCTTTGAAGGGGCGCCACCCCGTGATGTCGGGGAACTCCAGGTATTTCGTGCCACCCGGGTGGCGCCAGCTGCCCTGAAAGCACGCAGTGCTACCAATAGCCGATGAGCACGAAAGAGAAAGGCGAGAAAACAAGTAGACTTGAGAATGTTGGATTTTCCTGGTCTTGCTGCGTCCAGGTATATCATCATATGAATAAATATACTATTATATATAGATTGTTTGGTTGATTCGTGAAGTTCTTTGGTTGACTTTCTGGGCGTGGTGTTGGAATCGGGAATGATCATCGTCCCTTGACAAGGTGGCCGGGACAATGGTGAGCAGAATACAGACAATAGTAAATCACTCATTTTGTCTGAAAGATCTTGCATTGACACATCAAACATGAGTTGTTTGGGCCAATGATCCCAATGACATGGTAACAGCCCAGAAAACCAGCAATCGTCAAATCACCAGATCACCGGCCGGGTCTGCAATCAGTGACTGAGCCATCACTGGCATCGGCAAGTGGACAACCAAAGTTTCAAGGAATTTTTGCAGGTACCCTGCACCTCCAACTTTGACCTGTGCACAAGTGTGTTGCAACTGGTGAAGTGTGTCGCGTGATGTCGCGTGATGTCGTGTGCGTTGTCGCAATTTCTCCCATGGACAGTACTTGGCAATGAGGCAACACTTTTTGGTATGGATCAATGGCGGGGTGACCTTCCGTTCCAGACCACGATTCATACCTACGTTCCACACCTTGCTCCATACTCTCCCGTGTATCATACCTCACTTTCACTATTCCTCAAGCGTTCTCAATGCCTTTAAGTGTGTCTGCCTCAGTCTGGGCTAGTGTGTCCGCCTTCTGGCAAGTCCTTAGTAGCAATTCTTCACATCGCAGCATGATGGCTGATTCATGGCAGATCCGGCGGTGCATTCATGGCCTCCCGAAGGGTAGGGGTGAAAACAGATCCCACTCATCCTACGCGCATGACATACGATTCCATATGACAGTGGGTCGGTGGATTGGAAGAACTCGGTCCGGCATATGCGTTTTTTGTTTCAGACCAGGTTCTATACCGTTCCATACCCATTCCAGACCTGCCCGAGCTCATTTTGAGCCCTTCCCGCATGTATGAGGCCGATGACCTAAGGGCCATTGTGCCAAAGAAACCGTTCTTTTGGACGGGTCCAGGCAAACGCCTTGCCAAGATAAGAAAAAGGTTAGAAGTTAGAAGATGTTAGAAGTGAACTTGGAACAGTATAGGCAAGCCAGCAGTGGCACAGGGCATACAGCGTCGCGCGCGCAGGGCTGTTTCCTGCATGGAGTGTAACTGCATATGTACTTGTGTGTATGTGCTTAAGTACCTCCGGAACATACCTGCTGTTCCAGACCTCCGGATCATACATCTCATTCCAGACCTCCGGATCAGGAGGTCAACGTAGGGAGCCGGGTTTCGACCCACAACCTACTCAAGTTCAGCAATTGTACGTGATTATGCTGGTCACCTCCACTAGCCGCAGCTAGCTCATTGATACCGACTTCTCCTTGCAAAACACACCAAGCAAGAGGTAGATAACTGTTCTGCGATCCCCTGGTGAACGGCTCATCCAGTGAATGGCTCCACCATGCCGCTTCGCGACGCTTCTTCGCGACGCGACGCTTCGCCAAACGCGCATTGAATCGGCGGCGCCAGACCTCGATCAAGAAGAGGAAATATGAAATGGGCCGCCCGGCCACTCCTTGCAGCTCTGGTCCAAAAGTGCGATTTTCTGCGACGACCGTTTGTTCACCTTGTGGAGGACATGAGGATCATGAGGAAATCTTGTAGATCCAAATGAAACATGTGGTATGCTGTGTGCCTGTATGCTTGTTTGTTTTGCAAGGTTAGCTTTTGCAAGTTCTTATTGGAATGTTAAGCAATTGGGCCCAATTTGTAGTTGCTTTTTTTTTTTGAAGACAACTATATGATGCTCTCATTTGTGTCCAAACATTTTTTGGGCAATGCCCAGGACACATGTGTCTATTCTTGACACTCCCACAATCGATTTGCAACACATATGGCGTGGTGTTTGACCGGTTCCTTCGCCCCATCAACCCACCGACGCCCCCTGCCATGTGGCATGAGGACCCTCTCGACGCCCCCTGCCACGCAATTCCAACGTTTGGGTCATTTTCCACGTTGGCACGTTGGATGTTAGCACATGGCACATGTTACCACTATATAGATATAAGATGAGAAATATAAGGCTCCAGGGATTGTAGATCTACACTCTACACATTCTTTTTTTTTAGCAGCGGCGTGCAGCGGCTGATCCAAAGGGAGACTTTATCATGTTTTTTCCTCCCACTGAGGCAAACTCGGTGTGAAGCGCATCCGCTCCGTGCGCGGGCGGGGCGGCAACATGTCAGGGGCACTCAGTTCGACCCAGCTGAAGAAGAGTTTTCACCAGTCTTGAACTAAAGAGGAGAGACTTGACGAAAACATGAACACACATGAGAACCAACCTAACCGATCACCTTTCTTTGAGAGTTGTTTTCACACATGGAATTGACTCTATCAGTGACTCTAGCTCGAATCCTCGGACTTTGTGCCCAACCTTGAAACCATCGATCCTCCCATCGATCCGCGCGGGACACCCTCGCCGCCGGAGTGGCCGATGAGGAAGTACCGGGCCCTGCGACTGGATGCCGGGAACTACGCCTGGGGGTCGGAGAACGTCGCCAAGAAGGCGTGGAGATGCACGGGAGGTTTCTCTCTCCGTGCCGAGATGGGTCGCGCCGGTTGCGGCTGATTGAAACCCTGACACTGCGTGATCAAAGGCATGCACTATTTGGGCAGCAGTTAATTGGGGGCTGGTGGAATGAGGGGTGTCTAAGGGTGGAAAGAGGTTGGTCTATAGAATGGTCAAGCGAAATGTCGAATTGTATTTTGTGGATTCCATGACATGTATGGTATGATTTACTTGATTCACTTGTTCGATTTATTTGGCAAGTTATATAGTATACGCTGCTACCAAATGCCAGCCTCACATGGGATTTTGGGATCGCAAAATGAAGAAATGGCTGTACCCTTCCAGTTTCATCTATCGGGGGTTCTTGGGCGTGTGGGGAGCACTTCTTGAGTCTACTCTCTGCACGAAGGAACGAGAAACCGCTCCCAGGTGAGGATTCTCGACGTGGTCTACAACGCGACCAGCAATGAGTTGGTGCGTTGGGGGGCTCGGTGGAGGGTCGGCAGGGTGGGTGTTGGGAGTGGCGCTGAGGGCTCAACAAACCATAACAAACCCCCAGATGAAATGCAGTGAAGCTCAAAGTGCATCCAATTCTCATGGTCTTCCAGGTACTTCCTTTTCGGATGGTCTTGGAGGTGAACGTAATGGGTCTTTGGGGCCAAAAGACATCCGATTCGGATGCTCCTGGACCCTTAGAAATGTTATATTACATACTAAATCATAGTAAAATATAGTAATACATGATATACTCGATCTCTCTATATATGCATACTCTCTCTCTCTCTCTCACTCCAGGTACATATATATATATATTTATGAACACATTCACTGACATTCACACACACATTTATATATAATACTATATTATATATTATATATTATATATTATATATTATATATTATATATATATGTATATATATAATATATATTATATATGATGCATAATCGTATATGGTTCGAGACTGGAGGTCTTCTATTCCGCTTGACCGAGGCACCAAGACGCTTCTGAAGAACACCGTGGTGCAGTGCCTTGGACCGAGTTCCGTTTGACGTGCGGAAGGCCGTTCCGTGACGCGCGGAGTTCCGTGGCATGGCTGTGGTGTGGTTCTGTTTGTTTTGGGGGGGCGGTGATTACCAGAACATGGGCTGGGAATTCAGCTTCTACTTCAGCATGGGTCTTCGAGCTGCTGGTCCAGTGCCTACTGTGTGAGGCTTCTTATTTGCAAGAGTTTGCCAGACTATGTTGGATGGGAATCGATAAACCAACATTTTCCGATTATAATAATGAAGAGGAGTGGACAATGCACGAGGCCCTCAGTTCTGCACTGACACATACACATAAGTTAGAACGGGAGGATCTAAGGATTCCCTACCCTCTCTGAGGATTTCCATGCTTGGATCCGAATTATATAGGATTCGCGGCATCCACGTTCTGCCAGTGCGTTCGGCCCAAACTCGAACCAATCGCCAGGTCTAATTGCATGTGTATACATATATATTGTATATACACAGTAATTTCTCATGCAAACATCTTGCAGTCAATCCGGTCATGACCGTTCACACTATGGGTTTCTTCATTGGGTCCTGCTGAACTGGATGTTGCTTTTTTATCTTTAATTTTTTAAACTGTTTTTTGTTTTCTAATATATATATATATACACGTTAGTCAGGTGGTCACACCCGGTCTTGTCTTCACAGGCTGGCCGTTCTTTGGTGGATCTTCTCGAGCATGCCGAACTGCAACCTGTTCAAAGTCTGCTCCCCTTGAGAAGGGGTGAAGGGGCATCCCATTTGTAGGAACCTCTTGGATTTCAAGCTTTAGTGCAGCGGTTTCTAGACTCACACTCAGTTGTTTGCGCCGGATGCTTGTTCTTCGTTGTCTTTTGAGGATTGATGCGCATCCCTTCATGCAATTCTACCTGAAGAAATATGGCCAAGACCTTGGCAAGAAGAAGAAAGGAGCTGCAGCAGGCCAGCCGGTCGTTTCGTTTCGTTCGCACCGAGAAACAATAACACAGTCCAAATAGCTCGGTGCAGAGTATATGGGGATGAGATGGGATGAGCAGCTTGCGGACGCGAACAGCCTGGATGAGAGGACTTGGACATCAAAGGCCTTCTATAGCGCACCAAATCCTATCCAGGAAAGAGATCAAATGTATTCAAATATGTTTTATATTAATTTATATATATATATATGGTAGGCCACTCGAATATTTAATATTTTGTTTTTGTGGCTAGTGGTCACGGTGTGCTGTGCTGTCGGGTTCTTTCGTCCTTTTCGAAAGTTTTCCTTGTCATTTACCACACTCCCAGATGCCGCCATGGGAATAGGCCGCATTTGATCAAGTGTTGCGCTCATCGCCTTCTGATACTTTTCTCGGTTGGCAGAGGCTGAACTCTTTGATGCAACTGCACTAGCTGAAACTTCAGGGGAGATGTCATCATCAGCAACATTGGCCAGCCCTCCCCCTTGGACCTTAGTTCCAGAGCAGCTTTCATTTCCACCTGCCATGGGGCATGGATTCAAGTCCGGCTCCAATCATTTTATGGCATACGACAGTTTTGCAATCTGACAGATCGATGATTCCAGTGACCAAACTCCTTGAATTTTCGTGTGCTCAGCCATGGCCTGAGCGATTTGTGCGGCTTCAGCACTTTATCGATGCGAAAGCTGGAGGCGCAATGAGACTTTTTTTTGCCAGCTAGTTTTGCTTCTTGTGGCAGTCAATCCGTTGTGGCAATCAATCCGATCGAAGCCCCACAGCGTCGGCCTCGTCAAATTATTAGACTTTTTTGAATAACCTTGTTACTTCGCATCGTGGATTCTACTTCCTAACTTTTGTGGGCACGGCACGCATTGAGCTGGAACAAACAGCTTCCAGGGAAAGAACTGTCACAGGCTGTTTCTGTTCACCTCATAGGCCCAGATGGACTTTGTTTGTTTGTATACCGTCTTCTCTGCGGTCCCATCTTGTTCATCCATTGTTTTCGCATTCCACGGATCTGAGGGATTAATAATGTGAGGTCGAACTTTGAGAGCCTTGGACGAGGCAGCGGTGAACGTAAACCCACTATCACTTCATTAGTTTTCTCATTAGTTACACAGATACGATGGAGATTCATGGCCCAAGAAGGAAAACTATGGAGGAGATCACCCACAAAGCTAATTACCTAACGGACCTAACGGTCTGGGCCCTGCGAGTATTCTTATTTGCGAAAGTTGCCTTGTCCGAAGCCGCAGGCAATGGGTTTTGCGGGGCTTGGAATTACATTCATGCACCTGGAGTTGCTTCCACTTCAGTATAGATTTTCAAGGAAGCATCATTTCATGCAAAGCATTGGGTCAGTTTTTTGGCAAGTGGCTTGCTTTCCGGCCTCAAACATTCAGATTTCATTTGTCTGTTCTGTGACGGATACATGTGGGCCACAAGAACTGGCAGCATCACCCGGCAGCAGGAAAATCAGATCCACAATGACAAGCGTATTGTCAGGTGCCGCCGCCGGTTGCTTTTGCAGCAACCTTCGTTTCCAGCGATGGAAAACAGTGGCGGCCTGATTTCACTAATATTTTTCGCCCAGGGCTTCGTCACGTCCATCCCACTATATATATATATACATACGATCATTTTTTTGTATTACTTAGTTTGCTAAAGCCTTTTTTGGGGGTTCGGGACCCACAAACAAACGGTTGGAAAGAAGGTTAACCTCGAAGTCTACTTGGCAGGGAAACTGAGGGAGTCAGCATGAGCCAGCCACTATTTGCACCCTTGGTGTCCAAGAATCTGTGTAGCACTAGCTGCGTGAAGTTGGACTTGTGGATCTCCGTCAGGCTGCCAGACTCTTCAGCAGTTTGTTTTAGTAACATCGGCTCACATGCTTCCGTAGGTCCAAACTGACTTTCTTCATGCTCCCTCCTTTGAAGGAACTGCTTGGCTCATTGGTCACCCTGTCCAAAGACGAACTCAGAACACCCCACTTCGCTGTTTTCCGCCGAAAAAGTCCCCCGATCGACCGGACGGCAAGGCGACAAGACAGAGAAGGACGAGGCCAGAAGTTCTCGAACAATACACTGGGATGTGAATGTGATTGTAAATATAGTAACCATTAAAGTTCAGAAAACTAAACCTACCAATCGAACATGGGCGCGCCACGCCACCCATGCACGAGTTCGAGCGAATGCTTGGCTGCCAAAGGGACGGAGAAGGTCCATCCGCGCGGAAGACTAAGGTAGACATAGTAAGCCGTTGGTATGTAGAAGAAACCAATTTTCAGGCTTTTCGGGAGTGTACGACGTAAACAGAGATGTTTTCCCGCTTCCATGTTCAGAGCGCAGCGTGTACGGAGTGTACGGACCCTCCGTGAGCCGGCAGCCTCCGGTGTTTTTGTCGACATCTCTTGGCAGTAGCATCTAGAAATGGGTTCCAATTGCTTTTAATGCATTTTTAGTCGGGATCTACTTTTCTATCTATTTGGGGGTCTACCATGGTCTATCTAGCTCTGGCTGTGAGATGCCCTGGTCCTTGGGGTAGTGCTTTGGTCCTTGGGGGTAGTCCCAACATTGGATCAAGAGGTGCACAGCATACCACACAAGATTTCAAATGTTCCACGCAGGGTGATTTGTGCTAGCGCCTATATGTTTGGCATGTCAAAAACACACACACACTCATCGGTCCTTTATCTGGGAAGAAAGCAGGAGGTTCTTGGGTCAAGGCATATGAGCATCCTTATGTATCGCTTTAGAAGATCACCCTGGTTTCTCGACTGAGGAATCTTCTGCATGTGGGTGTGAACCAACCTTTAGAATCGTGGCAAGCGAATATTGAACCAGAACATACCAGAACTAATTAGACTTTGATCGCACATGACCCTACATCCAGAATGATCTACGCAGTGCCATGCTCAGCGTATGTTCTGTTTGGCACATCACAGGAACCATGTGCCATAGGCTTTACGCAATTTGCTGTACACGATCTATCACGATCGCCCCGTCACCATAGAGTGTGTTGATCTACTTTGGGGTGTGTCCTATTACCTGAAAAAGTCGGTAAACAGAGCCTCTTCTTTGTTTGGTGTTCCACCACAGTGTTCCACATTTGTCTTCTACATCTTCAAAGTCCCCTTCGACCTGTCACTCACCCTGGTCGCATCCTCCTCACCCTGTGCCGTGCTCGAAGCCGTGCTGCCGTGCTCGCTACGAGATCTGCAGGCCAAGGTCTCACGTCACGTGCTCTTCAAGCAGAAGGCTCGCGCCTCCAGGCGAGCGCGTGCAGGAGAGGAGAAAGCCAAAAGCGCCGCGGGCTCGTCCGCTTGGCGCTCGGCGCCGTTTCTTGGGGTTTGGACCGGAGGAAGATGCCTTGTGCTCATGCGGAACCCTAATCGAATAGTTCTGCGAGTGATGGGCACATGCTGAAGATTGTTTGTGGAGCCGCCTCACATTCTGCCACAGATGTTTGGTGAAGAAGACTAGGCAAGGTTGATCAAGCAGCTCCACAAATGTCCTGGAGCTTGATCGTTCATGTCTTGAGAAGTCCTTGCGTTTCGCCCCATGGCTGTCAGACTCTTCTCTTCCGTGTTAGTGGTTCAATGAGTATTAGAATGACGAATCTCCTGAGAATGGCAAGCTGGCCCAGCACCCTCTTAGCCACAAAATGAACAATTGAAGTGCTATAGAAGTTCTTTGGGTCTCTGGGTCAGGTCCCGTCCGTTCCCTTGCCGTCGCGCGCAATGCGTGCTCCACTGCTCGCAGTGGATCGCCAGGCAGAAGTTGGATCCTGTCTTAGAGGAGCCGACGAGCTGGGAGGGCACCCAAAACAGCGCAAAAACAGCCTTTGTGGGGGGTCCATGGATGGCTTCCCTTTCGGAATCCACTGAGAGGTGGTGCATGAACAGTTCGCACACCGGAAAGCAAGAACAGTTGGTGAACTTCCTGGTTTTGCTGGAACAAGTTGCAATCCTTGAGGATCCAACATGAATGTATACATCCTCTGGAGGGTCTGAGCCTTCAAGTTTTCAAAGCATCTCCAGTCCCAACGAAACGGAGCTTTGTCAATTTGGGGATGCCAGGGCAGCTTGAGGACCCGAGTGACTAGTAGTGGAAAACTACGACAAGTGCAATCAAAGTGCAAAGGGTGGCCCCCTCTTTAAACACGTCCCTCGCCAAGGGAGACATTTCTTCCACTTCCACGCAACCTGGAAGGGATTTTGTTGAGTGTAAAAGGGTTTGAGTTGAACACAACCCGGGAATCTAATGGTGGGAGCCACCAAAATCACACCGGATGTGGTCCTATCATCATTCATCCGGTCAACCTGACACAACAGTAGAAATATGCAGAAATCGGTCAGACTTAGGCTGTGGTTCTTTGTACACAAGCTGCACAACTTTAATGTTTGCAGCAGTAGTGGTGGTAGTGGTGGTAGTAGCAATAGCTGCAGAGTAGATCCAGAGAGTACGCAACTGAGTACAACAATTAAATAGTAACGCACACTATCCTAAGTGCACAGTGACTATACTCATGGCTAACAAACATACTAAGCCTCAGCCAATTGGGTAGAATTGGAAGATCCTGAGAAACTCTTGCAAAGGACATTTCCTTTCCGACCAGCAGTTTTCGCTTCAATTCGCTGTCAACGGACCTCCACCCGCCTCCACCCGCCCTCCAGACCGTCTCGGACGGACCTGCCTATCTATTTGCAGGAGCAGTTCCAGAGTGGTCGACTCTTGGCCTGCATCGCCTCCCGCCCCGGCCAGTGCGGCCGCGCCGATGGCTACGTCCTCGAGGGCGAGGCGCAAACGAAACGAAGGGGGCGCAGCAAGACATAGCAAGACTCGCCGTGGGCAGTGAGACTTCTTGGAGATTCTGAGGGAATTTGAGAGAATGGTGTGTGTTCTAAAGGGATCTAAAAGGGTTCCGGGTGCAGCGTTTCTCTTGGCAAGGTCAGATCGGAAAGTTTGTGCAGCGAGCAAGGCGTCTTACAATCAACAAAGAACTCTCCTCTTTGTAATACATATGGAAGCAGAGGATGCCCATTCATGCATGGTGCTAGTGCTTTGACGATATTTGAATATTCCAACACAATCCATCAAACTACTTCCCCCTCCAAGCCACAATTCATTTGCGACCCATTTGGGGCTGGGCAAGTGCGACAATTGCATGGGTTCCTCTTTGAACCTCCTTCACTTTTATATTCTACAGGAGCTCAGCTTCTACAAGCGAAAGCTGGAGAAGAAGAAGAAGAAGAACTGAGAGCGCAGCCCTCCACCTGCGCCGTCTCAGCGCAGACTGGTAGACTTCGCGCTCTTTTTCACCATAGCCACAGGTAGACTTCGCCAGAGAAAAGAGAACCAGACTTGTTTTATCAAAGGGCTCCGTTCTTCTCCTAGTGTAGTTGTAGTAGTAGTAGTAGTAGTAGTAGTAGTAGTAGTAGTAGCAGTAGCAGTAGCAGTAGCAGTAGCAGTAGCAGTAGCAGTAGGAGTAGGAGTAGTAGTAGTAGTAGTAGTAAAGTCCAAAGGTTCACCCGATCATTTCCTGTCAGCACAAAGAGAGAGAGAGAGAGAGAGAACGTGAGACCAGCCACCAACTGCAAATCTTCAGCTCAACCTTGTACCGAACGCGAGACCACCCAGTTCAAAACTGGCCACCCAAAACCCCGCACTCATACCCATGACCTCCTGCCCGTGACCTCATATTGACCATTGTGCCAATAATGGTACCAACAGCTCCACCATGCTCTTTTGGCAGGGTTTGTTTGCAACCGGCTTGCAAATTGATCGGGTGGAGGGACCATGTTTGCCCGCGATTTCAGCGACCGGAAACTGATCCGGTGATCCGCCCCAAACATGACCCGAAATGAGACTTTGTGGATAGCCCGAGTGGCCACAGGCAAATATACACCCGGGATCACTTGGGCACAAGCCTATGCAGCCCGTGCTTGAACCGTCAATTCTCCACTCACAGACACTTTTTTTTGAGCTTGCTCATGCTTGCGCCATTTCCAGGAGCTGGAGGATGGTGAGCATGTCGAGTTGCTGGACAAGGTGGCCTCCGAAACCCGCGGATCAGAACCCATGGGACCCATGAAATGGCGCTGTTCCATTGTCAAGAGAGGTGACCTGACGACGTGGCGAGAACATCAAAACAACATTGTGAGGCCCAGAGGTGAGAGAGCCAGGACTTCATCCACACACACACACACGTATATGTCGGGGATGTCCTATTACCTATAACAGTCGGTAAACAAGAACATCACTATTTAGAGAAAGGCTTGCAACTGAACCATCATCATTTGTTGCTGGTAATAGGAAATACATGGATATACCCGAAATGCATCCCAATGTATATTTTAAGTATATATAGCTGTTCAGCTTTTTGATCGTCTTGAGGCTGGACATGGAGCCACATGGAGCCACTCTTAGTCACATACCGAGTTCAGTCATCCACTGGCGACATGTACGTGGTTCCTAGAAGTCGTTTCCCACCATGTTCTTTTCAATAGCCTGAATCCCGAACAGCGCTTGTTTGTGCTTACCGCATTGCCGCCCTTGTCTATTTAGGGAGGGAGGTGCCTAACTCGCTGCTATTTACAGTGCGTTCATGCCTCTTGTTGAAAACATGGTCGAACGGACTTCCAGGGCTCGGCGTTTTTTTTTTTGTGTGATGGTTGTGTGTTGGAATCGGGACATGACGCAACAACGGCATTTTTGTTTTTTTCGTCCTTGGTAAATGGCTCTTTTTACTGGGGTCCCCCTATTCAAATACCCCGCTAATGCTGTAAGTGAGCAGTGTCGATATGGCAAAGAGGAAGGGAAATTGATCAGGAATGTGTCTTGGGGGTTCATTCCGGCATTCCGGATCGCTAAAGTCATTTGAACATGCCACCTTCCATTCCTTTTATGAAGGATCCATTCATCCAAAGCGAAACCATACATCAGTGTTCTCCCTTCAGAACTCCTCGCTCAAACCAGCAAGACCGTTCTTCTCCGAACAGCCATGTTTTTCTCACCACTGGGGCTCAACGAGCATGTTTGAGCCAAGAGTCTTGGCCAGATTCCAACAATTCAAAGACCAGAATCTCATTGCACTGCTCCAGCCGAAAGAAGCGAGATGAAGAGTCGTACCATCAGGTGCTGGGCAGCATGGACGACGAGGCATGAGACGTTGGGTCACCCTTTTCACTGTGAGGTATATATATGGTCAGGTTTGGAGATGTTTGGATGCGGAAACTTAGCAACCCGAACTCCAAGGGCCTTGTTTCTGCGTGCACTATCTATCCCGCTTCGACACACGTGTGAAACACGACACGTCTATCCCGTGGATTGTCCTGCAGGTAGTAAGCGTGTTTTCCTCATCTAAGGAGAGGTTCCTTTTGGAAAACACTCCCAGCTCCCAGGACTTTGAGGATGTTTTCGAGCGCCCTACAGCGACCCGTCAGGACTGTGTTGATGCGATTCTTCGAGGGATTCCTGTGAGACGGTGATGGCTACTCACTAGTCCATTCAACAATTCAAGACACTCTCCACACCAAAGTGCATGGTTGAACGGCGAACAAACACAGGATTGGTGCAGGATCCATTTGAGAAATGACTGGTAGTGGTTGATGTCATGCTCTCATGTACATGCCGAGACGCTGCTTTTGCGCAGACCTGGAACTCATTTTGCAGTTAAACCCCAAATGAACAACATCCAAAAAGGGAATGTACAAAAGCGGCGTAGATTTGCACTCCATTTGGTCTAATTAGGGAATCTCCCACACTCCATTTGGACCCTCCACTAAAGCACCGTATGTCCAACATGTTTGTTTTTTTCACATACAAAAAACACCCGTTTTTCGCTACATCAGCTTTGGTTCGCCGTCCGCTCCGGCCAGGACACCCCCCCTACCACCAACTCCGCCGCTGGGCGGAGGGAAACATGTTCTGCGATGGGTTGCACAGCACAGTGACGAACGAGCAGAGCTGTTGACACCTTACATGAGCAGTAGTCTACGGCACGCTCTATTTGCTTGTCTATTACTCGCTTGTGAACCAGATAGGCCCCCACAGGCCCACATAAACGAGATACTTTTGCTTGATGACACTAAAGTAGTCTGAACGAGATAGTGTGATCTGCTACTAAAGTAGTCTGAACGAGATACTGTGACATGACTTCCTACTTAAGTAGTCTAAACGAGATAGGGCCCCCAGATAATAGATAGTGTAGTTGAGTTTAGTACCAAATAAATGCCGTCGCATACATGGATGGATGCCCTGACGCGCATGGGGTTGCCACACTGTTTGAGCTCGGAAGCAAAAATGCTTGGGAAAGCGAAATCAAGCTCGACTCCACGCTATGCTTTTCTTAAGGATGGACAGAACTTGACCAAACCCAGGACATGTCTGAACAAAGATGAAAACGTACAAGATGATGTTCCCTTCACCTGTTCTAAGGATAGAGTTTCTGTTTCTGTTCTGATCATTCAGTGCCCTTTTGGTCCATTCCCCCCCAAGTTCACGCGAGAGACGGGAAATGGTTCAGTCCGAGGTGGTGGATTTGTCGAATGACGAGGCGGCGGATGTGGGGGGCCAGAAAAAATACGTGACGATTGCTGAGAAATAATGAGACATAGGGATTTATAGTATAAGCTATAGTCTAGTCTAGTGTATATTGAGTCGTATAGTAGGGAGTTCGAGTTTTCAATTTCATACATAGTGTGTAGATCTGCGGGCAAGTCAATTAATCCTGTCCACCTATTAAAAAGCACGGGCCCCCCCCTCCCCCTATTAAGAGAAACTCGGTCGCATTTTTTAATATAGGGGGTCTCTGAAATCGGGGGGGTCCAAATAGGGTCACCTGAAAAGAGCTTCAAAACCAAAAAGTAATCTGGATTTTTTTTTGTATAAAATCATCTATTAAACTCGTATCAAAAATTCAAAAAAACCTCCAGATCGAAGGGTTTTCCTTTTCCCCTACAAAAACCTTTATTAGAATACTGATTCTTCATTAGACTAACAACCAAAGCTTTCGAAAGGTGATGTCATGTCGCTGTGCCATGCGGTTTTGCACGGCAAGTGCGTTTGCGTGAGTCTGTGCCATTGGAGGAAGGAAAACCTGCTGATGTAAACGCGGCGTGTCATGGTGCATACACACAGGGCGGACAGATGTGGGCAGTTACGGTTGTTTTTTGGAACCTAATAAAAGAAATTACCCCCAAAGTCGAAAAGTCGACCATGTCGGTAGTTTAGTATAGCGGCTTGAAAGGGCGGTAATTTAAAACACGTATAAGCCGCACTTAGGGCTTCTGTTCTTTCAGTTGGGGAGGCTTTTTTAAGAGGTACTCGGGATTAGCACTCATACTAGGCCTCAAATGAAGCCTGAGCCGTCATATTGGAACATGCACTTTCTTATAAATGTGCGGGCAGCCCTCAGGACTTGGCAGCCCTCAAGACCCGGCTAGGAGTTTTTGTTGCAAAGGACCCCGAAATGTAGTCCTTGCTCCTAGTAGAAGTGCCCTTTGTTCCTAGTAGCTTCTTGTTCGAGCTTGCGCCATGTGCTCGCGGTATTGCCATGGGCCCCTTTTGTAAGTGGTCTTCGCTTCGCAACGGCGCACGGGCGACGGGGGGTGGCATTTGGAATGTTCGGGGGGTGGCATTTGGCCGTTTCGGCAGGGGGTCCTCAAGTTCAGTGATGTTGGGGCACCGAAAACCGTGGATCGACATGGATCGTTTTCTTGGTTGAGAGTTTTTGGGACGCATCTGGGACGAAGGCGGCTTGGAAGAAGGTGGGTCTTTTCGATCGCGTATCGCCCATCGCTGCGGTCACTGTCGTCATCTCTCATCCGCTCCATGTCCGCGTCACCGGTGGACGGTTTGGTCCTTTATTTGAGGGGAAGAGGCCTTGGATCGGAACAGTATTAGAATAGGGAGACCCCCAAGGACCACTGGGAAGACTGTAAGTACGCTTACAAGATGGAATCAGAGGGTGCATCCTGTGCATCCTGGTTCCCAGTAGAAGTCTGGATGAATCAACACGCTCCCAGGGTATGGATTCTAAGACCTCTTCACGATCTGGGGGTTTGATGAATCAAGTCTACATGTTGGTGCCCGAAGTGGATGCGTTCATGCGTTGATGTTTGTTCCAGGAGCGAATATATCTACGCTTCTGAATTCCGTGTGCCCCACATTCAGAAACATCTCTAGGGCGTGTATCCCACACCGCCATTTCTTTTGGATCCGGTCACACCGTCGGACGCTGAACCCCGCCAGGACTCCGTGCAGAGTCCCAACACGGCCGTGCCCGAGGAGAGGGGACATGGAGCGGATGGAATAGGACCCGTATCCGAAACAAGATGAGATTTACTCAAGT